GCAATGAACCACACTCCCCGACTTGCAAGGCTTTCCTCCTGCCTGTCCTTCTCCCCACAGGTCTTGTTCCTGCCTCTCCACCTGGCTGGCTCTCTTCAGCCTCCTCATCAGCCTACTTCTCTTCTCACTTGCTTAGACTTCCTGGGCCCAGAACATTCCCTGCAACAGGCTGAGCACTAGAGTCTCCGTGGTGGGATGTCTTGTGATGGAGTCAGCAAGAACAGGCCGGGCCCACTGGTGTCACTGGCCAGCCCCCCACACCTCACCTCTCACATTTAACCAACTTTCTCGTTCTTCCCAAATGGGGGTTCCTGGGACAGGATGTGAAACCGGTTCCAGCCCATGGTCATGCTGTCATGCCCCACCCTCCATCCGGGGGGCTCTGCAGCGACAGTGAGGGGAGCAGCTCTTGGGATTTCCATGTGCCTGTCACCGCAGCATGCTTGGGGGGTTTCTTTATGAGGTCTCTGTTCGGGGAGTGGCGTGACCTGCCCGGCCCTCGGCTGGGGAGACTGGCAGCTCTGACTTCTGCCCCGAGCTGCCATGTGCTCCCTTCTGGCAGTCCAGGCATCAATATCCGCACCCTTTAAGGCGTCACCACAGGTTCCGCCCTCACCACCTCCAAAGGCCGCCCACCTGTCATCCTTTTACATCTCCCGGTGGCCAGGTGCTGAGCAAACACTCTGCAAAGGGACCCATCTCCATGGTGACCACACACCAGAGACTCCGGGGAAGGCATCAAAGGGGGAACTGAGGGCTGCAGCAAATAGGGGGGAGCAGGGAGTCATAAACAATTAAACATGACAAAATCCTCTGGGGAACAAAAATAGAATTATTTGACTGTGAAATCGAGTAATGTAGCATTGAAAATAACATAACCTGAAACATCATTTTTTTTTTCTCCATAGATGAGAAAATACCAGATAAAACCACGCATGGAAAGTGTCGATTTGCTGGAGGGCCCAGTGAGGAAAGTGGTCTATGCCCAAGATTGTACTTTCAGAATATTTAAATGTTGCTTCTCTTTTCTCCCATGCTAATAACTTGGGGGCTGGCTGCTGTCCCCTGCTTTGGGGTAGCGCCCAGTGGAATTGGACCCTAGGGAACCAGCCAGGGCTGGGAAGACATGCAGGGTCCGCCAGACAGATGATGGTAAGAGGAGGGGCAGGGAGAAGGGGGCTGTGCTGGGTGAGGAGCCGGGACCTCGCCTGGAGTGCCCGCTCTGCCTGCTGCCGCGGGACCCGCACCCCGAATGCCTAATCTGAGCCTCCCCCCCACCCCCTGTCTGAAGGGGTAATGTCCCCCGTACGGTTCTGCGTGAGGATTAAGCGAATGCCATGGGCATAACGTCTTGGTAACAGCCGCAGACCACGTGGGGCACCCAGCGTGGACCCGCACCCCACGACAGACTAGGGCGGGTGCTTCACCAGCCGAGCGCCCGGGAGGGGCCTCTGGACCCGAGGGAATGGGGGGTCTTCCCGCCACTTTGTGGGTCCTGATTTCAGCCCCACAGCCCAGGGACCCTCCCTGCCATTTCCCTGGCGAACCCGGACAGTTAGTTACCCCATTGGGGAGCCCCGCCCGCACCCCCACGCCACGCGGGCGCCTGGAGCAGCCCTCCAGTCTCCTGTGGGAGCCCCATCCTCGATGTAGGGGTGGTGGGAGGGGGGTGCCAGATAAGAGGGGCCACAGAGCATGGGGCTGGTGTCTCCCCTGAACTTGTAGCTGGTTCAGAGCCTGCAAGTCCTGCAGCCCAGGGCTCAAATCGGATTTGTTTCCAGATTACTTTTTATTTGGCTTGACGGGTGTTCCAAAAGAAACCACGCCAGCCCCAAACCAAGCCGTCGCGCCCCGACACCAAACTCTCAATCTAGACCATGGAGAGTTCACGCCTCCTGCAAAACTGGGGTCTTCCTGTTCAAGCTGTGCCCGGCCCGGGGGCTCGCGAGCTTGCAACTCCTAACACGGGGTACGCGCACCCACACTTGCTGTGAAAGCATGTTCAGCAGACTCTTGCTGCCGAACAGCACTTTTGAACACGTGTGTGTTTATTTATGGCTGCGAGGTGGGGAGGGAGGTTGGGGTGAAGGGCGGCGTAGGACCAAAGGATCGAATTGGCCCCAAACCCAGTGACAGCTCCTGGCTCTTGGGTCCCAGCAAATAGAAGACTGCAAGCTGAAAAGCGCCTGGCCCATGGCTGAGCCAGGATGGCTGCAGCAGGATGGCCGCAGCAGGATGCCCGCCTGGCCTGACCCTGCACCTCCTGCGAGCAACAAAGAAATAAACAAAGATCTAAGGAATATTCCAGGGGAACCCACGACAGCCATGGCCATGGAGCCCGGCCTTGCTGAATGTTCTCAGGGGCATGGAGTTCTCGAAACCCCCTAAATAGGACTTGTCGGTGGGGTCCCGGCATCCCTTCCTCCTGCCAGGGGAGCCCCTAGAACGTTCACCCCAGATTTAACAAGAGGACGTGACGGCGCTGATTTCCAACAAACTCCCGTTCTTTCCGAGAGTGAGGCGAGAAAGGCGCCACACATCAAACCCCCTTCTATTTGGGGTCCCCTTTAACACGCTCCGTTATCTCGTGGCCTACATTTCATTTAACAAACTGCCCCACGATCCTTGCAGGGCGTGGCGTCAGGACTGATTTAAAATCCCCGCATTGCTAAAACTGCATTGTTCTTCATCAAGTTGAGTCATTTTTATGTGAAGTGTCAAGCTCCCTAACAAATAACTCCTGCCAGACAAATCAAGTTCCCCGTCTTAGAGCCGCGGCTAAATAGTTTATAGCTTTAATCTGCTCACCGAGGTGTGTAGTCTATGACAGTAATTATAAATGCAAGGAGAAATTATAGCTGAATGCTTTAACTGCATTAGGGGTTGTGTGATGAACAATCATGAGTGCTTGTTCACTTCCAACAATAGAGGGCAAGTTAGTGTCAGTGCATTAGAGAGATTTCAGTTCTGCTTGGCGTTTTCTCCCATTTACCACGGAATGTCACTTGTCTCCTATAAAGTAGAAAAAAAGCACTGTAGAAAGCTTTAAACTTGATAGTTAAAAAAAAAAAAAGACAAAGAGAGAAATGCAGCAAAAACTGTTTATCATTATGACTTTTCTCTCCTGTGTTGTTTGGAGGCAGGTTGGGTTTCAAATTAGGTTCGTTCAAGGTAACTGCTCCTTTCCTTAGAGGGGTCCTAAAAAAAAAAAAAAAAAAAAAATCCTTCCTCCAGTCATTTTTTGAGAAATCTCGATAGAGAAAGGTTTCTTGAAAACGAAGGGCAAGTTCAGATCCAGCCCAGGAGGGAGCTCCGGGGATGGCGTGTGTCTCCCCACTAAGTCCCCTCTATCTGTATCTACCTAAGCTAATGACACAATTTAGCTCTGTATTCCCCCCCCCCCACTTTTGCAGAAAGACGTTTTTAATTTAGCTGAAGAATTACACAAATGTATTTTAAAGACATAAATCCATATAAAAAATATGAGCTAATTAAAACATTGCACTCCCTGTCGCTCATGGATTTTCAATTTAGCGAAAGAAAAAAGAATTGCATCTGGTTAAATGAAAAGATGATACTGATGGCAGATTGGAGTAAATGAAAAATAATGTTACTCTATATTAAAGCACCAAATTATACGCGTCAGGATCGAGCATGCAGAAGTCCAAACGAGGGGAGACGGAGCGGGAGCTGGGTCGCTGGGATGAAATGACAACATGAAAAGACAGGACCGTTTGCTCCTTGTTGCTTTAGAAGCGCTCGCCTCGCAGCTGACCCTGCTGGCCGATTCTCATTCTGCTTCCCCGGGGTGAATTCGAGAGGGTGAGAGTGAAGATTTCAAACAAGAAATTCTTACAGCTCTATTTTCACTGGCATTTGGGTCAAGTTTAGATGCTGGGTGCTGCGTGTCCAGGTTCCTGACCAAACTAAGACAAGACAGTGGAGGGAGGGAGGCTGCTCCGGCCGTCCCAGGCCCGAGCTGCATCGCTGGCTTGACAAGCTCCAGGCCCTCGGGAGCACCTTGGCCCTCTCTCCACACCTGCACCGCATTTCACAGGCGCTGCGCTGAGCTGTTGGCTGCACCCCTGGCCTCAGGGGGTGCCGAGCAGCCATCAGGTCAGGTGGAAGAGAAACCAAGAGCAGATGAAAGTAGATGAGAGTAAGCAAAGTGGTGGGAAGGAGAAAGACGAAGGCAGATGGCTGCACTCTCTTACGTGGAATATAAAGCAACAAGGTAGAGGACAGCCAAAGTGAGACCAAAACCAATCCCAGAAATAGACTGTAGAATTGGCACTGTAGAGGGGAAAAGCAGGGAGGGGGCCAGAGGGGAGGGGCCCCATGGGCTATGGCAGAGGGCCGTGGGGGCTTTGGTGGAGGGAGTGATGTGGAAACACACATCTGAAGAGGTGTGAAGCTGTAACTAAATCATACACCACACTGGAACTCAGGGGGACCTCAATACGACTATATATAATTATATGGCAAAGTTGATGAGCAACGGGGGTCCTGGGTTCGAATGATACCTCTTTGCTGACCGTGTGTTCTTGGTCACAGCCCGGCCCCTCTGAGCTCCCTGCAAAAGCCAGTGTGCCCCATTGTGCTGGGCCACCAGTCACGCTGTGGCCAACGCTGCAGTTGGTACATTCACAGGCACTTGGTGGCTCCCTGGCACCTGGAGCGTTCATGAGCTCAGCCTGGAGGCTGGTGAACAGCCAGGGGCTTGCAGAGACTGTCCAGAACTCATTTTTTGGGTGGTCCTACTAGGTACCAATCTTTGTGGAAATGAAGTGCATAGTTTAATTATCGCATTTCCTACCAGGGGAGAAGCATGTCCTCGTTGCCTAGACACAGACGTGTGTACTTCTCAGACAGGTAGACGGCTGGGGATGGACCCCAGACTTGAGGAGCTCTGTGGCCAGGATCCTCGTCTTAACATCACCCCACCTCTGAACCCCCATTCCTGTGCCCGGCTGCCCCCAGTGGGGCCGCGCCCCTCCCCTCATATTCACTCAGCTTCCCCCCCAGGACCGTCTGCCTGTCTGCCCCTTGCCTCGCAGGCTGACCTTGTCCTGGTCACCATCAGGTTTACTCCCTGGGAGCAGACAGCCCTGACTTCTGGATGGTGGAAATGCAGGGGGGCTCCGAGATTGTGGGCACTTGGGCACCTGTTCACCCCCACTGTCGCCTGTAACCCGGCCAAGTCCACGCTGACCGCCTCGGCTGCTGGCGAGAGTGAAGTGAGCTCGTGTGCGCGGTGTGTCCGCAGGCCCGGCACTTGGTCACCGCAGCACCCCGAGCGCTGCCTCCTCTGTATTTCCAGGGCTCACTCAGTCTGGGGTGCCGGGGAGCACAGGCCGTGCTTGTGAGGGATGAAAGGAACACAGAGGCAGGACGGAAGGAGAGAAGAAGGAAGTGAGGATAGGACGGAGGGAGGAAGGAAAAGAGAAATATTTATCCTTTGGATGAGGAATAATTGATGCCTCCACAGACACTAATTAGCGCTGCTCACTCGGCTCTTCCCAGACTGCCATGTAATCCCTGTAATATGGCCAGGGATGCAGATTAGTGTTCCTCATCGTAAAACGTTGAATTTGACTCTCAGATGAACAATACTGAATCTCAGATAAAGAATTTTTTATTATAAATATGACCTCTGCACTATTTGGGATGTGCTTAAAATGAAAATGTTTGCTGTTTATCTGAAATTGTACTACAACTGCACCTCCTTATTTTATTGGCCACCCTACCTGCTGTCCCCCCAACCAGTGTTTTGATCAAATCACCCCAACAACTGCGGCACCAGAATTCACTCCCGCCTCCAATTTCAAGACTAGGTGTGCTGCTAAACGTGTATCTCCTATACTACGCCATAATGACTATCATTTCACGTTCTTGTGCATTTCAGACTCATTGCTTTGCTCTTTGTTTAATTTCTATTATTCAAGAGCTTGTAGTTTTTAAAGGTATAGCCCAATACCTACTGAAATTGCCTTAGATAACTGACATCCAAACATCGGGATACACATTGAACAATTTCTACTTATTTTTTAATAAAAGCTGCATTTAATATAGCATAGCACTGAGCAGGATTTAAGACATAGCCAAGAAAGGAAAGAAAAATCAGGTGTAAATTTGAGTTACAGAGAATATGGATCGGGGAAAGCTTTCAAATCTTCCACAAAAGCTTGACCACGTTTCTAAAACCTCCTGGCGTTCTGCACGACCTGTGCCAGCACACGCGCCAACCAGCAACAGTCTCATCACCGGATCACAGCGAGATCTCATTCTGTGCTAATTTAAACACACACCGGCAGCATTTGGAGCAGCGGGCCAGGATCGCATAGATGGTGCTCCAGAGGCCCCTGTGCGGGAGGAATCCCTTCCTAGCTGCCCTGGGCATCTGAAAGCTACTGTCACTCGGCTGTAGAACCCATTCAGGCCGACAGGAAGAGCTTTAGCATTAACACAGATATGCCCACCCAGCACCAGACAGAGTTATGCAGACGGGCTGATGCCCTGGCGCACAGACCCAACACTCCCATTGCTTGGAAAGAGTCTCAAATCCTCGGACCTGTCTTTTCTGCCATCATCTCTGAGAATCACAGCACCACGGTGTCTTTAGAAGGGTGTTTTGGTTTCATGTAGTGATCATTCTAATAGGGAGTTTCAAAAGTCCAGATCATACATACTGACTTTATGTAAATGTAGAGATATGAAAAAGCATGCTAACTCTGTATTCAATACACGAGGAAGTGTTTTTTTTTTTTTTGCGTAGGTTTTCCTAAATTATTGGTTTATTTTTCGCTCTCCAGAATAGGTTTGTAGGTTTCAAGTTTTAACTGAAATGACTTTTCTCCCCTCTATTTATATCTTCCAGTGTTTGGGCAGTGATATTAATTAAACAAAAAATGATTACAAACCTAACAGGTGGAAAATTGGTCTTTATTGTAGCACAAATAAACATTCCTATTTGTCCTCTTCACCATGGTTTGGACCTATCACTATGGGATTTGAAACAGCTCTTCTCTCTGAGAATTATGTATCTATCCACCCTTTTTTTTTTTTTTTTGAAGTAGCAGAAAAGTATAATAGCAAGTTACATAAAATTTAAATGTTCTATAGCAAATAAATAGGACATCTTGGAGCCCAAGCTCGCGCATAGATTCAATAGATGCACTTCGGCTTTTCTTTCAACAGTGTGAGCTGAACAAATCATGCTTGGAAAGCGAGAGATGAATCTGCCAGTAACACATTTTAATTATCATGATAAAAACATGCAAACAAAACAATTGTCTTCATTTGAACCCAGGTAACCGGCTGAGATATAGGGTGTCTCCCCCTCCAGTAGAGGCTCCCAGATCTTCTCACTTAGGCAACAGTCCCAGCTCACATTTTTGAGCCCCTTCTCTCTCTTCACCCTCTCATGCTCAGTGGCTTCCCTCACCACACCCTATCAATACCCTTCTCCACCCCCAACTCTGCTAGCGCTCATTCCTTGGTGGCTTGGTCTGAAAGTCTCTCATTTAAACAGGTAGCTACCGAAATTGCCTTTGATGACTTAGTGACAATGGCGAGGGCTTACATGGTAAGTTATTATTTGTTGTTCCTATCATATTGCGAAGGAATCCAAAGAGCTTCCTGATAACCTGGCATGACGTGACATAGACTGGCAAGTGTTAGAGGTTGAAGTCAAGTGGAGTGCCCACCCTGGAGTGTGGTCTGAGGGAAGGGCAGACTGAATATGTATGAGGGTTCCTAATGTTTGTGTGGGGAAGGGGTGGGGACAGCTCATGCTGGAGAGGAGACAAACAGGAGAGGAAAGGGGTTGGTTAGGATCCGGCCTTACTTATGTGCAGTGTTTGAAAACGGCCTTGATCTGTCAAGGTATTTGACCTTGGTCTACATTCTCTTTGCTGGAGGTGACAGCCTGGGCAGCAGAGACTGTGCACGGCACGGAACTGCCGTGATGCAAATGATCTGGAAGCTGTGGACCCCATGTGCATTGGCAACGGGTGTGCTGAAAGTCCTTTGTTTCTTTATGGAAGGTCAAGTCTCACGGGTGTGCACCGCATCTGTCCGTGTGAAAGGTGATAGACCTGTCTAGCCTAAGGAAAACCCATAGATGAAATAAGAATAAGTTTCCTCTCTGTTCATCTCCATATTCTGCAGAGAATATTTTTCTACCATCCAACTACCAGGCCGATGCTTTTTCATAGGAACCCGAATGGGGGGAATAAACAAAGGGAAGGGAGCGGAAGGTAGCAACTGCTGAAAGGAAGCCGCAAAAGCACTGATTACAGTAATTATAGTGAAGACCGGCTTGAAGCTATTCATGAGCGGATTAAGAAATCTCTTTAGGCGCCTGCCCCCAGTAACTACAATCTTCTTCTGTCTCTCACCTTTTTATCACTTTAGGCGTCATTAGCATTGCTAGGGAAGAGGGGGGTGCTAGGGGACAGTGAGAGAAGATAGTACTTGATCATTAAAATGAGGTGTAGCCTTGGCTGGACCTTGAAAGTTGGGTACTTCAGGGGCTCACATAGGAAGAAGCAGTCATCTGCGAACCCCATCTCTCTAAGCCCATTTTTAGTCTATTCTCCAACACTACATGGGAGAAACTGAGAGGCTCGTTGGGACTTACAGATCACATGCTAGTCTTTCATAAAAACAACTCCTATCCCAGCAGGCTACTCTCCACCTGGCATTGGGAGATGCTGGCTGCCGCTAAACAGACCCATCTCCTTTACAGAGGCTCCTCACACATCCCCTGGGAGCAAACCCATACCTGCAGAGCTATTCTTCATCCACGTCTGTTACAAACTGTGAATGGTGTTCGGGTGACTTGCTGTGCGTTTTGCTTAGGTGGAGTTTTACTGCATGTTTGCTCACAAATGTCCGACAGCACAACTTACACTTGAATTTAGAGTCTGTGTCCTCTTCGCCAGCTATTGTTTCCGGAGACCTCTGAGCCGACGGTACCCGGGAAATCTCCTGCTCCACCTTGCTTTGCTGTTCCACTGCCATGCGGGTCATGTCCTTCATTTGGAAACCTAGGTGAGATTCTAAGTGACTGATGTAGGTAGAAGGGGTTCTAAACTGGGAGGCACAGTCACTGCAATAAAAGATCGGGTGTCCTTTGTCCATGTTTTTCAGAAATTTGGTCCCGCCCGTTTTCCTAAGTTGGTACTTGACGTTTGCCAGCCAGTGGCTGATCGTGGTCATGGAGAGTCCCGTAAACTTTGAGATCTGCATTCGCTCTTGGGGGCCCAGATCAGACAGCAGGTATTTGCCCTCCGATGTCTGGAAGAGGCTGGAGGCAAACTGAGCCTGCAAGATCAGAAGATGCTGAGGGTTCCAGTTGGACTGCCGGCCTTTTCTTTTATGCAAAGTCGAGACTTCGCTGGAGACATCCTCAAAGCGCCTGACATCCATCTCCAGCTTCATGGGAGGCACCCTGGAGGAAGCGGCGGGCTTCGGGGTGGTGGCCTTGGGGAGCACTTTGACCATGTCTGCGATGTCTGACAGCGCGTGCTTCTGCGGCGGAGACGTACAGGATTGTGCTTGCGAGGACTCGGCTTTCTTGCTTTTGGATTTGGTCAGGTCGATGGGCTGATCGTTGTTCTCAAACAGGTAGCGCCTGGACACACTGGCTGGTCTCGTGGAGGCGGGACTCAGGACCGGCTTGTCCAAGACGCCAAGATTGGACTTGTGGAACATAGAGATTGTGCTTGAGCTTGGGCTGGAGCAGGCAGGCGAGCGCAAGGGTTCCGTGGCTTTGCCCAGGTGGTTGTTCAGGACGGACTGCAGGGCGCTGAGCGGGTTGATGCAGGGCAGGGCCGAGGCATGGTGGGCGAGGGCGCATCCGTTGCTCAGAGAAGACGCCGGCTCCAACGTCTGGGATTTCTCTTTCTCGCCGCCCTCCTTCATCAGCTTGTCGTCCTCCTGCGGGGGACAAGGCTCAGCCTTTTTGGATTCTGAGGGGGTTTCGCTTTGGGGGAAAGACTCCCCCTCCCCGTGGCTGAACGAGGATGCCTCATCGTGGGGACTGTCTTGCCCACGCTCCTTCCCGACTCCATCTGTGTCCTCTGGTTCCTTCTTCACTTGGGTGTAGGGGGCCAGGTTGGTGGCCATGGGCACCAGTGGCAGCACCTTCCACTTTGGTGCAATGGGCCTCAGCTTGTTGGGGAGATTAGGGCGAATCTGCAGGACCTGGGATCCCATGGGCAGAGAAGGCTTGGGGCCCTCGGACAGCTGGTAGGCGGCGTGGATGCTGGGGTAGGCGCTCCAGCTGGGGGCCCCGTTCTGGGCTTTGTTGATGGCGGTGGTGACAGTATTTTCCAGTGACTTCAAAATGTCCCCGCCACCTTTGGAGCCGTCTTCCAGGTCCTCCTCCCGCAGATACTGGTATTTTATTGTCGGGTCTAAAGGCTTCTGGAGAGGGTCTCCGTAGTCCTCGCTTTTCAGGACTTTCTCGTCCTTGCTGCTGGTCTCCTCCGGTCTCTCTCTCTTCCCCTCTTTCTTTGCCTCGGTGGTAGAGGCTGCGCAGTCAGACACCGAGTTGCTGGAGGGCTTGGGGGCCAGAGGGTCGCTGTTCGGGGCTTCGGACAGCGACTGCATCTTCTCCACCGCCAGCGGGTCGAGCACCAGCTGCTTCCCTTTCTTGGAGGCCGAGCTGGTGACCTTGAGGAAGTGGCCGGTGACCATCATGTGGGTGGTGAGCTGCTGCAGGGTGTCGTGGGAGCTGCCGCACTCCATGCACTTGAGGATCTGGGACTTGCACGCCTCGAACTGCCAGGTGTAGCTGGCGCCGTTCTGGTAGCCGTAGCGGTTGCTATTGGACAGCTGCAGGCTGGCAGTCTTCTGAGAAGAAAAGGAATCCGCGAAGGAGCCGGTGGTGGAGTCGGGGGAGCAGGGCCGGTGGACGTCCAGCACCCGCTTCTTGGCGGGAGTGACCATTTTCGAGGAAATGGTTGGGACCGGCTCCTTCAAAGGCACTTTTTGGTAATGCTTTGTTTTGATCATGTGGACGCTCAAATCTTGGAGGGAATCGAAGGAGTCGCCACAGAACATACATTTCAGAACCTTCTGCGCATCCTCCTTGTCCATATCCTGGAAAGCCCGTTTCCGGGGCTTGGAGTAGCTCGTGGGTCTCAGCTTGTCCTTCTTGCGGTTGTCGTCTTGGTAGTGGCCGGTCTCGTTCATGTGCACGGTCAGCTCCACCAGGGTGTCGTAGGCGGCGCTGCACTGGCGACACCGGAACCGGCTGGCCCCGGTGAACACGGTCCCGCACACCTTGCTGCTCTGCCGGTACAGCTGCACCGAGCTGAACAGGCTGGGCTTGGACACGGAGCGCGCGGGCAGGTTCTGCTGGAGGCTCTTGGACAGCGCGTCCTGGTGCCAATCGAAGTCAGTCTTGTTGCCGCCGTGGCGGGGGTCGCCGTTGCGCCGCTCGCTGCTGGACAGCTTGAAGCCCAGCCCCAGGCCCGACCAGTAGGAATCTGACAGGATGTTGGCGTAGACGGCGGTCATCTTGTCCATGCAGCTGTGGGCCTCGTGGGGCAGCTTGGGGGGCGCGGCCGCTTTCTTGTCCGCACCCTCCCTGCCGCAGACGCTCTTGACCTCGGACACCTGGTCGCTGGCATCGCTCAGCAGGGACTCGTTCTCGGCGTCCTGGTTGGACAGGTGGCTTCCCGGAGAGTTCTGGTAGCTGAAGCAGCCTTTCTGCTCCGGGCCGGTGTCCAGCTCCTCATCTGTCCCGGGGTCATTGCCGCCCTGAAGGTGAGTGCCGGAGCCATTGTCTGCCTCCTCCTCTGACTCCTCTTTTATTTCCTCCTCTTCTTTCAGGGGTTCCTCCTGGGCATAGCCTGCCAGAGGGGAGAGCGAGAGGTAATTGAAACAGCAATCACGGGTTTCACCTTCCAAGCCAATTTCCCCACTTGAGAGGTGCTTCCCACACCCACTGCATAGCGATTTAATCTACACTTTTATGCACCGCAAGCAATGGATTCAGGGAAAAGCCAAATGACGCCTTGGGTGCCGCCTGCTGCCTCTAAAATAAAATGGGCGGGAGTTACCCTTCTTGATCAATGCCTAGAGCGCCCGCGTTTAAGGACTAGCATTCTGATTCTCTTATAATGAGATAGTTGCTAAATTCATGCACATGGCTTTCAGGAAAACTGGGCTGAATCCAAATCCTCCTGAAGACACAGCTCTACAGAGATCGGCTCCTAAGAGGACTAAGCCCTGACTCTTGGATGCCAGGTAAGGTCCACCCAAAACACCTGGCAACAGGGGCACACAGTCGTCATCGCAGATGAGTCTTCAGCTCAGACTTAATTGGGACACACAGCCATTTTATTTTTTGAGCACCAGCGTCTTTTTCGTTAGGATGTTTTATTCACAGAGTCGCACGGCAGGAAGAGAGATTATGGAGTATCGAATAAAATCTTCCATTGATAGCTGAAAAATTATGTAAGCTCAGCAAATCTAATGATTTTAAAATAATAGCAAATGGTGTTAGAATGGGAGATTTGGGGACTGTGCTATTATTCTCAAACAGGTTTATGAAGTCCTTTCCAGACAAGGCTGAAAATGCCCTCTCGATCTTGTGCCTGTAATTTCAAATGCACTGTGATTTGTGGGTCCCCATCATGAGATGCCAATTATACATTTGATTTGTAGATGCAGAATGCTATTGGGGATGCATGCCTTCCCTGCTCTGAAAGGATTTAGGGCCAGTAATTGCATAGGGAAAATGAAGTCAGGAGGGAGCGGGTGCAAAGGGAATTAATGGGCAAATATCCATCAATGGAGATGGGGAAGTGACTATTTATGTCCACGTGCTCATTTTCTTCACCTGGCCCTTTCAGAGTCACGTGGCTGAAATGCAACCAAAGCAAAGGACACTCAGTCTTATATTTGCAAGGCCTGCTTGATCTCAATGCAGTGTTTTCCCTATGGGCGCCTGGCCCCCTCTCTGGCAGGTGGATATTTGGGAGAAACCCTAGAGCATTGCAGTGATTGCCAGTCACCAAGGTGAAGCTTGCAAAGGGATGACCATTCCTTGGATGTCTGTCCTGTGAGGCAGGCAGAAGCAGGTGTGCTAGGAAAGAGGCAGCTCCCGTCGGGAATTCCAAAGGTTGCTGCTGCTAAAGATGAGTATTATACAGACACAGCAGATGCAGTCTTTCATTTTGTCTACTCGTCACAAGAAGAAGGTACTAAGATCATTTTCATTTCACCCATGGGGAAACTGAGGCTTTAAGGTTAAGGACTGTGTCCAGGTCACACAGCGCGGAAGACAGCATCCCTGTGTGATCCCAGTCTGCTTGGCCAGCAGATCCGTGGCCTGAACACTTGGTCCTCCCTTTTGATCGACCCAACGAACAGGAAAACTTTACGGAGACCTAAAGATTAAAGGTTAAGTGGTGGAATTCGCTGAAATGTTACTGAACACAGAGCCCTCTCGAAGGGGAGAAGCTGGGAAAGCTGGGGCAAGGCATGTCACCACCAACCATGACAAAGAGTCAAAACTCATTCCAATACCGGGTTAGAGGTCACGTTCGTTATTTTATTGTTATTGCTACTTTCCTAGCAAGTTGACAAGTAGGTGCTTTATGAAATGGGCATTGTGCTCTCTGGTTCTATAAAGGGATTTGAAGGTACAAACATGACTCAGTCTAGCCAAGCGGCCATTACTAAGTGGTCGCTCCATGCAAGAGAACCCTCATTTAAAAGCATCACCTCCCTCCCCTCAGCCTCATCACTATTTCTTCTCCCTGGACTAATATGGATGTGTGCAAACATGGTCATACCACCAGGTTCAAGGAAAAAGTCTGGTATAAATAATAAATGAGTTGTGCCAGAGCCAAGCAAAATACTGCAAAGAATCAGGCAAATTTTTATGAATCCAACAAGGACACTTTTGAGAATTAAAAGGCATCATTACTCCTACACTGAGACGGGAGGTATCAGACAGGACTATTCCAGGTCAAGACGCACGGGCAATATGATCACAGCCACAAAGAAAAGTATGTGCACACACATTCACACACGTGCACGCACATGCATGTACACATTCATCAAGTGAAGAAATCTAAGAGGAAAAAGAGGACTTTCTATAAATGGCTATGGGCACTGCTAGGATTCCCTTAGCTCAGTATTTTCAGTGCCTAGCTCAGTGCCTGATGTTTAACGCGAAGCTGGGAAGTAATTCACATTATTTTCTATGTGTGTTGATGGAAGACATGCATGTGTGTATATAGTGTGTGCGTGTGCAGATACACACACACACACACACACACACACACACACGCTGCCCAGCCAGCATAGCAACTGTCACACAAGAAGAAAAGAAGTTTTTTTTTTCTGCTGACATTTGGAAGCTGAGTTTTCCAGATCAGCTCAACTTCACAATCTACTTTGTCCTTCTAAATGGATTCCCCAGAAGAAAAGTCAGACAGCCGACGCCTCCCCCACCATACAGATAAAATTTTCTGCTTAATTAGGCATTGACATGTTTACTATAACCTTTACAGAAGAGTAACTCATGCCAAGAGACCCTTTTTGTCTGTTTTCTTCTGCCAAACAGACTAAATCTCATGCACCAGATAAGGTAATGCATTGAAAAGCCTCATAAAAAAAAGTGCCAAAGCATCCGTCAAAGTGAGTGTATTTTAACAATGGCTGAGGGTTCCAAGGAGTTTTTAAAAACACATTTTAATATTATACATTTAAAACTATTCACTTGACTTAAGTGATTTTGTTTGCCACCGGCAGCGGAGGCGAGAGAGACAGAACACGGCGACCTGGGTGTGTAATGAGTCCCTGTCTCCCTCTCCACCGATGATTTGTTTAATAAGATTGCATCGTGTGTAAATCTTGGTAGAACGGATGACTGGCAAGTTTATTCTTCTGAATACTCATTTTACAAAAGAAAGTGATGGCAATTATGCCAACGTACGAAAGAAAGGACGGTTGTCTGGAGAACCTCCTTGTGGATTGAGGCTGGAAGATCAAACTCCCTGGTGCCAAGCCTCTCCTGTTCCCTCCTGACTCTCATTTCACCCTCTCCACTGCCTGCCTGTGGCCAGGTGAACTCGGCTGTTCTAGGACAGCTCGTGCGGGAGTAAATCCTGTCAATTCTCGGTGACCTGACAGGCTCAAGGACCGTCTGTCTTCCAAGCTGGGTGACGGGCCCGACTGGGACAAAATGAGGTTCCTGCTTCTGCTGCCCTCCAGTCTGTTCTTCGGGATATTCTCTGTTGAAGGTATTAATGGTGACATTGCTCCGTTTTGACTCCTGCACCTGCTTTCTGCTGCACTTACAAGAAAATCCAAACCATTAGCATAATCCGGGAGAGCCTGCTGGGGTGGCCCCTACTTCTCTGCCTGGTCACCCGGAACCCTGCTCCCCAACAGCAGCTTCCTGCCCCTCCAATCCTCCCCCTGACGCTGGTCTTTGCCAGGGCAGACTTCTCTGTCCAGAAGGGTCTTCCTCGGGACCTTTCCAGAACTGATTCTTCTTCATTTATCTGGTTCAGGTCAGAGGTCCCTTTCCAAGAGGGGCTTCTCCTAGGCAGGTTCCCTTCTTGGCCACATGAGCTGATTTACTGAAATCCCTGCAGCACTTTCCACACCCTGGCATGATCTCGTTTGCCTGCTTATTGATGGATAGGCTCCTTTCACGAAATATAGAGGTAAAACACGTGTCCCCAAGTGGACCGAGACCTGCTTCTCCCAAAGTTGATGCCACATAGAAAGAACACAACTGTCCCTTGGCCCCCACCATGCCCCAGACAGTAGAAGGGGGGGTATTCTGCTTGCAAACTATGCTACATCACAGCATTGCAAATGGTGCCTGCGATGGGCTAAGGCCCCTTCCCCGCACACTCCCCCCACCCGGGGCCAGGTGTGTATCACAAGCATCCTGACCAGCTTTGTCCAGTGATAAATCTAGAACATCCCTGTGAACCATCTTTTCCAGCTACCAACTAACTTTCTTGTCACCACAAAATCCTGAGCCGTGGATTTAAATGTTTGCATGGGAAGACAGCAACAAAGCATCGAGATTGCAAAGCATCCACCAATATGCTCCCAATGCACGCAGATTCTGATTTAAAACTGATTCACACGTGGGAACTTTGAAAATACGGACTCATTTTGTCATGAGTCAAACCCATTAGCTAATTCATGATACACGTTACACAAATATTGGGCTGAACTCCTGAGTTGTTGATTTAAAAAAAGGAGAAAAGTCATTAGTGAAAAATATGATCTATGCTCCAAATGTTTTACTCTCTGAATATATGGGTAGAATTTAGAAGTAAACCCTTGTATTTGAGAAATTTCCTTTAAACCAAAATTAAAAAAAAAAAACAAAAAACTAGAGGGATTTTTTTTTTTTTTTAAATTACCACCTTAGTTGTTCCCAGAATGTCTAGTCAGAATGATTTAAATGAAATTGTGCAAAATATTTCATGGTGGCTCGATGTTAAGAATCAGGGTTTTTTTTGTAGTTGCCTTGAGAATCCTCACGGGCGTGTTTACAATAAAAACACTGACCATTTTTCATGCCCCAGCTGGAAACAGGGGGGGCCCTAAAAGAATCTAAAACTCAAGAAAGCTGATTTTCAAAATTGAAACCTGATTTCCAGCAAGATCTCATTTAAAAACATGTCTGGTGGTGATAAGATCGTTTTCGCCAACCTACCCCACTAAATGGCAGTTTAAAACCAAACACAGATTCCCCCGCGTGCAGGGCAGACGTCCGCGGCGGGATGGCAAGGGCATCCGTCCCTGGGCCCTGTAGGTGTGTGGCCTGATGACAGCGACTAAGGCCTCTGTCACCGGTCGTGAGTGTGTT